TGCGACCGGATGTCATCCTCACTCAACGCGCACGGCATATTCGCGCAAAGACGGGGAAAGAGGTGTATGCCCAGGCTGAGAGAGAGCACACAAGTTTTGGTGAAATTCTCAAGGAGACGCTTGTTCGACCAACGCGTATGCTGTGCACCGAAGGCGTCGTTCTTTCCTTTGGACTGTGGAGCGCTTTCTGCATCGGCACAGCTTTCATGTTCACGCAATCCATCGTGCAGGTCTTCTCAGAGCTGTACGGCTGGACATTCTTCGGCACAGGCCTCGTGCAATGCGCTGTCGTAATCGGGGAGCTCATCGGCCTCATCGCATCTCTAATCCAAGACCGCATCTACTTCGCATCTGCGAAACGCAACACCGAAACCCCAGGGCAGCCGATCCCAGAAGCGCGACTTTATCTCAGCATCCCAGCTTCGTTCATCGGTCTGAGCGGTGGACTGTTCTACTTCGCATGGACGTCCTACTCTTCCATACCGTGGATCGTACCCAGTATATCGCTCGCTTTCGTGGGCTTCGGCATGTTCTGTAGTACAGCGGGAGTAACGACGTATGTGGTTGATGCGTACGCGAAGTATGCTGCTAGTGCTATCGCGGGCATTGCGTTTCTGGAGAACTTTATGGCGGCTTTCTTGCCGCTTGCGACGCAGAGTATGTATCGTACGTTGGGATTTAATTGGGCGAGTAGTCTGTTGGGCTTTATCGCGTTGGCGTTGAGTTTCATTCCGTTAATTCTGTTGAGGTTTGGGAAGAGCATACGTGGGAAGAGTCCGTTTATGAGTGAAGCGGGGTATGAAGACTGAGTATGCTCAGGCTTTTAGTAGATGGGGAAGGAGAACACACAATACGAGACATATCTTTGCATAACGAACATGCGAATGTAAGACGTGAGATTGAAAGAGCATAAATGCCTTGGTTGTGAGATGTGTTGCAGTGGTGTAAAGCAAAAGCCCACATGCGGAGGACAATTGGCGTACCCGATGGACCAGATGCGACACCTTCACTTCATCGCTGGAGCCAGCGCAATCGCAGAAAACCTCAGGTCTCCCCCCTTCTCAGACTCGATCCTCATCAAACGCCCAATACCCTTCTCCAACGCAGCCGGACTAAGCACATCCTCGTCCTCCCCCAACACACCCCGATCAAGCGGACCCATGCGCCCGCCCTCAAGTTCCCACAGGTGCCCATCTCTCGCCTTGACGAAAGCCACGAAATGCTGACCGGTATGCGCCTCCTCGATCTCTGCAGGTGGGGCAGAATCTCCCAGTTCCACGGCGTCTGCGTGAGCCTTCTCGAACGCGTCGGAGTCTTCGAGCACTCTCGCGCGCTCCCAGATGGGCTTTGGTAGCGCGTCTTCGCGGATCTGGTCTAGGGTTGAAGAGGGCTGGATGTGCTGTGCAGCGTCGCTGTTGAGCAGGCAGTGCACAAGGCCTATGCTGCCGCAAGCGTTTCCTATGGTCTGCTTGAACCATATGACGGGCTCGGCGTCGCCTTTGCCCTCGTACTCGGTCTTGTCCTTGTCTTCTGTTGTTCGGGCCTCGTCCCAGGTCGGTGTTAGAGGAATGATGACAAGTAGTGCTACCGCTGGTCGCGGGATGAAGCTCAACATGTCGGAGTCAGTGAGTGAGTAGATGTCGTAGAAAGAGAGCGCTGCCGTGTCCAGACCGAGGTCTTGAGCCAGATGGTTCATGACCTCTGGGTTGTTCTCAAGGACATTCCACATCTTCTTCGGCATCTTCTGCGGAATCTCTTGCGACATTTTGAAGGGAGTTGTGGTTGTCCAGAGATGCTGGGGGTTGAGACGAGCTGGCTGGTGTTTAGTAGACTTCGGGTGTGGAAAGGTTAGCCTTGATGAATATGCTGCTTCCTAGGCAGCGATCAGACGCGTCACAACGATATTCAGTGACAGGCAGCCATGCAGGTACGCTGCAGGTAAGTGGAAGGGCGTACAGGGCGGACAAAGGTGGGGAAGGATCAGGCCTGCCAAAAAGGGAAAGGCCCCGCGCTAACCCTGAGTTAGGCGCGGCTGGCGGGGCATCATTCAATCCCCGCGGTGGCAGCATCCCATCGAAGTTCAGACAACGCATCATCTCACAAAATTTACGTATGAAACTGCCTTGTGGGTACGTGATGTCCTTCTATAGTTGAAAGATGTCCTCCCGCAGTCATCTATTGGCGCGGACATCCGAGCAATCTGTAGGGGATACATGTTGCATCCGCCGGCTCTCCGCAGTAGTAAAGTCCAGCGCTTACATTTGAGCCTCTTCATCCACCACACTTATGTATATGACTGACCTAGAGTCTCTCGGCGTATCTCAGCTCACCTTTACCTAATACACCAGCGAGGAAGACACCCAACTCTACAACACCACTCCACATTCCAACTTTCGAGCTCACAATGGATGACGAAGCCCGACAAGCAATGGCAAGCATGAAGATGCCACGCCGCCCCATAAACTTTGTTTCCGCAAAGCAAGGCGAAATTCTCAAACTAGGTCAAATCACTTGCAGAGTCATGGAAGATGGATCGCGGACAGACAACCGCATAGGCTCTGCAGAGTTCACACTGCCTCCAAACACACCTGGGCCACCAGCACACTGGCATGAGATGCACGACGAGACGTTCCTTGTTACCAAGGGAATGGTTCGGGTACGTCTTTATCTTTCCTCCCATTCCATCCAGCTTCTGCAGATAACACAGCTAACCGTCCCCGCAGTTTCACGCACCCGACGGCGCCATTCAAGATGCCTACGTCGGAGACTACGTTACCGTACCCATCCGCGCACCCCACACCTTCTCGAACCCTACAAACGAAGAGTCCAAGTTCTTCAACACGTATACCCCCGCGTTTTACATCGATTACTTCAAGACACTGGCTGAGATAAGTAAGACGGATGAGAAGATGATGAAGGAGAAGAACATCGAGGTTATGGCGCGGTATGCGACACTGCCTGCAAAGGAGATGATGGAGGAGCAGAAGAAGTAAAGGCTGAGAACAGCTTCTCTGGAATGATATAAGAATAGTGCTAGGAATACAATCATGCGCATGCGATACGCAGGAAAAAGCTACAAACAGACGCCGGAGCCTTCAATACAATGAAGAAGTCTCCGCCCAAACACCGCCAGGGCCAGCCGAGCGCAACGTCTCAAATCACAGTCGTATCCCCCTCCTCATCCACTCTACAGATACTGCACTCCTGATACAACTTTGCGCAAAACTCCCTCACCGTCATGTCCGCACCCATATCCGTCCCAATAAGATGGTTCTTCATGCAATACCACACCCACTGCCCACCACTCGCCTCATCTCTTCTCAAATAGTTCTCGCCCGGGCTCCACGTATCCAAACTGAATGTTATGCCAGTGAGCTGCGGGCCCCGCGGCACGGTGTCAGAGTACTCCGTGCCGAGCATCTTGAGCGATTGGGAAGCATGGTACCAGATCCAAAGCGGGTTCCAGAGGGGATCACCGAGGGCTTTGGCGTCGAGAGTAAAGGTCTTGACGTTGGACATGTGTTTGAGTTGCTCGCGCATGCGGCGGCCGAGCGTCCAGGATGAGGATGTCATGGAGCGCGGGTCTGTGACGCCGAGCATGGAGGATGTTGTAACGAGCTTGAGAGAGCAGTTTTGCACCTTGGAGAGCAGATCGGGCGAGATGTTCCATACTCGGTTGTCCTGTGTTGATGGCGCGGGGAATGCAGATGGAGGGGTGCTGGTGGCGGGCTTGTAGGTCTGGGGCGTGACGCTGAAGTGGAAGGTCTTGCGCTTGCAGATCATGTCCATGTATTCGGAGTACACTTGCTTGTTCGCTAGGAATATCCATTTACTCTCGTGTCGTGCAGGCGATGATGTGGATGTGGATGTCCAGCGCGCGGGTCGCATCCAGTTCAGCGTTGAGCGCTGGGTTTCGTTGCGCGCTGGTTGCGGGTAGATGGGGTCGTCAAGGAAATGCTCGTACACCATATCCCGCAGCTCTTGTGGTAGGTCCAGGAACCGGAACGGCTTCTTGTTCTGGTATTGCATCTTGCGGTACTTTCTGAAAGCGACGAAGCATAGTAGGGGAAGTAACAATGCGAGGAGAGTTATCCAACCCTTAGGCTCAACGCCAGCAATATTGCATTCTGCAAGCCATGGCTGCCAGCGCGACAGCTCGCTCGTCTTTATCGATGCGGATGCCATGACGATGCTCGTGGTAAAGTGTGGGGTGCCGTGTAATTGAGCGTGCCTAGCACGCTAGCGGAATACGTGCGATGCGAGGAACACGATGGTGCCAGGGGCGCTGTCCAGCTTCCCTCACACAACGGAAACAGCGCGGGACTACGGGTATCGCGCGATGCTGAAACAATAGTCCTGCCTTCGTATACGGCAGTATCCAATCGCCGAAGCGTTCTGATCGGTCAGACAACAACTCCGAAGGGTGCCGCGTTGTTTGGCCGCTCGCACAAAGGGATCGTGCGCACACGCGTGATGCAAGACTGCGCGATGAGTCGAAATGAGATGATGGGTGGAGGTGCAAACAAGGGAGGTTGTGGAGGAATGCGCGAGGGGGAGAGACGCAGCTGAGTAAGATAATCAATACTGATGCCTTGCGGATACGACTGATGAGGCAACCTGAAACGGGTCGCCTTGCGCCGCAGCTGCTAACAACGACATCGCCACGTTGACACTATCGTCAGGTGGCACCGCGTCAGACATCTATCATCTCCGTACCTGACGCACGTGTTCGATCATAGGTCGCGCACATTAACGACGAGAACAGGAAAGGCACTTATTCGAATACGCGCACGATGGGCTTTGTGTATGTAGAATCTCGTTGTTCTGTTAATGCCTGGCTCAATGCACCTTGGAGGAAGGTGTATGCTACGTAACACGATGCAAGTCGTTCGACAAGACTTCCAACGAGTACTTCTTAGGTGTCTCTTAGTGCCATCTTGAAAATGGCTATGTCCGACGCTCGATTGGCGACTGAACGCCGGCACGCACCCTACTGTCGATCACTCCTTCCTGACCACCACTGCCACACCGATAGTCTCGAGGAAGCGAACTTCTGCAGACTGCTCAAGACGCTGCTTGAAACCCACACCATCGCCATATCCGACCGAACACACAACCTCAACTCGCTCTAGGTCTGGAAAGTCGGTCTTCGTCAGCTCTCCTAACCAGCTTGTGAGCTTGGACTTGCAGTCCCCGTCATCTGGCCCTGGAGACCTAGGGTGGGTGATGACTAGAGTTCGAATACCACGAGGTAACAGCTGAGACGGGCTGGAACCTGCAGGTCGCTGGAACTTGTGACTATCCACCAAAGCACATTCTGCAATCTGGATCCGCCGTAGCTGTTCGAAGGTTCTGACGTCCAGGCGAATAGTCAAAGCCTCGCTAAAACGTACAGGCGTTGCGTACGTGAAAATCAGATTCTCGACTGAACGTCCCCGACTAAGCAATGTCTGCACGACGTGTGGGTGAAATGATCCCGTATTCCCTGAGACTGAATGGCCGAAATCGTCTCTATCACCCTGAGGAAATCTGGTGTGGCCCACATCCCACATATACGAACCCAAAGTCAATGTATGAACGTTTGGGAGAAGATTGAGAAAACCTAACGCTCCCCGGAAATCGACGTCTTGAGCTTCGTTTCCAGCTCCTACTGTGAGAGATGTGATATTGGGGGCTTCGGCGTACTGTGACGGTGTCTCCAATCTTGCCCGGATTCCTATGCACAGGGCATGTAATGTAGGTAATGTAACGACCGACCAGTCCAGGTAACCATGAGAGAGGTAGATAGATGTAAGCTTCGAAAAGCAGGGTAGACGCACGAGATTTTCTACGGGAATCGGGAATCTTCCGAAGACATTCTTGTTGATTTCACCTTTCCGGTAAAATTGGCCATAGCCATCAGGATAGTCCAATTCGGTGTTGCAGGTGTATTCGTCCAGAGCGGTGATGGTCAAAGAACGCAACTCGGTGAGGCGAGCCAGAAGATCGCAAGCGAGGTTCTTCTCATCCACTTCGATTACATAGCTTCCGGGCTTGACCATTAGAGAGACGGGCGACACGCCGGAATACATAAGCTGTGGATACTCGACAGGTAACGAACGCGGCAGGAACCATAAGTCCTGAACTTTGGTAGCCAGGTGAGGCTTTTGTTTGATGGTCCAGAGAAACACGGCGAGAGCAGACTTGGTGGGACGGTCGAATGTGGACTCGTCATCTGAACCCTCTAAATATTCTGAATCTTGGTCCTCTGGACGAAGGTCGACAAAGCGGTAGAGGACATCCTGCGCAACCTCTGTGTAGCGCTTCGAGGCGCGCGCCAAAGAACATAGACCCTTGTAGTCTAGGCTCTCAGCCACTTGTATCATAATCTCGGTGGCGCATCTGTCAATGTGGCATTTGCTGGGTGTCGGGATGGAGCGGTTTTGCATCGCGAGCATATCGAGTGCGCTGGCGAGGTCGGCGTCGGGTGTCGAGGTCACTGACAACGCGGTACCTGAGGCGGGGTTCGAGAGCGCCATGGCAGTCGAATGGGCAGAAGAGACGATGCAGAGACTGATTTTGGAAGCAGCTCGGTGTTGGTAAGTGGTGAGAGACGAGGCGCGCTAGTGGTAGCAAACACGAGGGCATGGCGAAGAAGGGAAAGTGCGCTTGGACACCTTGTTCACCTTCACCACGGGATACGAGCGTGGACTTTTGGACATCAGGCAAAAGCCGGAAGACATGCATATAACCAGATCGAGTTGAGAAGGGAGTCGTTTCTATTTACAGTCTGGGTTGAGTCGAATGTTATCAATGCGGAGGAGTGAAAGACTTCACCACCGTAAATGTTCCGAAATTTTTCCGAGAGGGGAGAGTGTAACCACGAGCCGTATCCGACCGAACCCCTCTTCAGCGCTTCTTTATTAAGAAGACTATAGATCCGAGAAGAAGAAATGGGTATAACAAAGCAGCCGAATTCAGGTAATAAAGCTTCTTTGTACCGTATCGGACCTCTTGCACATGGAGACGCCGTGAAATATTCTCCAACTCTTCCCTGGATCGAGTCAGAGCGTGAGTTTGCTCTTTCATCTTTTTAGTTTGCTCTTTTATCTTTTGAGTGTGCTCTTTAATCTCTTTGGTCTCTTCAATCAACTTCCGTTGCTCTTCCATGAGTCTCTGGTGCCGGTTGCGCATAGCCAGGATCAACGGAATAGGCATGTTCCAAGGTTGCATTTCTTTGGTGTTGAAACGTTGAGCGGATTCTTGTGAGTCAGTAATGCCTAAGACCAGAGGTGAAGTACTCACTAGTAACGTTGGTTAAGTATAAGGTAAGGAGTGGGAAACACTTTCTAGAAGTAGCCTTTTATAGGTATGAGCGATTTGCGACAAAGGGATTTGTTACAGAATGTGATTTTGCACGAATTTCTAGTCTCTCTTGATTGCGCTGCTGCCTACGAATTATTCAGGGTGCGTGACCTGTTAACCATGGTACACAACCACCGAAGTTGCATCAAGACCCTTTGCGAACCTCAAGCACGGAAACGACCACGGAAAAGTCACGCCATGAAAACTTTGTATAGATACTGCGTGTATTTCTTAGACATTAGAAACTACCAAATTATTAGGTATTATCCACAACAATTACTTCCTCCCCCTATTACTGTCCCAAGGAAGGCTTAGTATCCAAGCTGACCCCTAACAGCACCAGCAACAAACTGCGCAGTGTGCGAGTCAGTGAAGAAGCCCTTGGGGTTGGCTACAATCTGCTTGACGTGGAAGCCATCAGCCTGGTCCTTCTGGGTAGTCGGGTTGATGACGCCAACGGTGAAGGGACCCTTGAGGCAGCCAACGGAAGTACGGCGCTCATCGGGACCGGTAGGGTTGGGGAAGGCCTGTGAGATGTGCGTTAGTAATCGTCTCAAGTATGCAGAATGCAAGAGGAAAAGGAGGTAAGCTTACAAGTCTGGGTGGTCCAGCCTTGCCCTTGACAGCCTCGTGGATGTGCGTCGCAGTGAGCGCAGGGGACTGGTAGTCTCCAGTTACACCACTGAGGGTGATGTTGTAGCAGATGGTGTTCTCAGCAATGTTGATGCCGTATTTGAAGAGGCCCTTGGCGCCGGGCTGACCGGGAGCAGGTGCGCCGGTGTTGGCGATGACCTGGTCGGGGGTGGCCTTGACGACGTATTCGGCGTCGAAGTAGAAGAGCTTCTCGTTCTTCTTCCAGCCATTGTCCTTAGCGTTCCATTTGGCGTCCCAGTCCTTCTTGCAGTCGGTCTTGTAGTCGTGCTTGCCGGCAGTGGGAGCGGCGAAGGCAAGGGGAGCGGAGATGAGAGCGAGGAGGGCGGGGGTGGTGAAATGCATGTTGGATGTTGTGTGAGTAGCGGAAGCTGTAGAATAGTATGTGGATGTAGTGAGGAGGATGTGAGATGCTGATGAGAAACAACTGAAGCTATCCTGTGCGGTCCTTTATACACATACGGCTCTCCACTTCACCATCAGAGCTCAACTTCATTTCCTTCTTGCCCTGGCCCGATGACATCGGTGGACGACGCACTGCAAGCATGGATCGGTGGTAAAGACTCTTGGAGATGGACACTGGTGTCTTGGTGAAATCTTCAACGTGAGTTTTGCCAAGTCAACAGTATGATTTGAGATCATTTCCGCCATGGCCGAGCCCGTACATGCGATGTAAGGCGTGACCAGCGGTATGGGTAGTGGTCTTGGTATCTCCATTTTGCTGACAGGATACCAGACGGAAGGAGTGAACCCCGATGCGAGGCTGCCGTCTGCATGGATCTGGCCAACGAGAGTTGAGCCCATTAGAAACCTAGCATGTGCGCCCAATGAGCACAGCGCTCGAACGAGCCGTAGAAGACGCCGTCCACCGTCTTGGTAACGGAAGATCCCATACTTTTGCAAGGCGAGCTTGCATCCATCAAGCCCACGATCGCCCCCAAGATATCGCCTAGCTATCTTGGTGCGGGTAGAGTAAGATCCGTAGTCTTACCCCAGCTCCTGATCGGGCTTACTCCTTCACCAAGTCTTCCTTTTTGAGCCATGATCTACCTACCCGCGTGGCTGTGCTGACTGAAAAGGACTACGTGCCCAAGGCGCTAGCTCGCGTTGGCCTTAATGTCGACCAAACGTACTCGTAAGGCGCTATCGTTTCCCCAGAGATTTGAAATAGACCTTCGGGTCTCGATTGATGTTGACGTTGGTGTCCGCAGCGGAGAAGTTTAGTGAACTTCTTAGATACTCTTGGCTGCAGCACCGTGGGTGCCCTGGAAGGGTGCCACTCATCACTGAGTTGTCCGATGTGGTGAAGCAACGTTGCTCATTCATCGCAATCTGCTGTAATGCCGTGTATGGGTGGTAAACTGTCAGACTTTAGTTGTGATGTTCAGGAAGAAGAAGCTCCCGGTGCTTCCAGCTGACAGGATGACATCACCAATGTGCCAATGCCAAGACCCACCCGATAGCGGCCTGTTCTCCGCCTTTCCTCCTCACGCTTTCCGCGCACTACCGAATTGACAAGCCGGGGACCGGATCTCTAGCAACACGACGGCCCAAATGCCCAGACAACGCTGCTCAGCCGTACTGGCGTCCTGTTACGTTTTCTTTCAACGATAAGAGCAAAACTTCAAATGATCAATCGGCCTTCGCCAACAAGTGCAAGCATTATCACTACGTATCTTTTGAAGAAACCGACTCGCTTGGGAGGTTCAAGGGCCTCTAGTTTCCTACGTGAGGGCTGAGAGATACAATGAGAAGGATGCTAGCGCTAGATGTGATACACCAAGAGCTTGCTTGGTTGGAGACAAAAAAGAATCTAGAAAAGGACTGCTGGTTTCAGGAAGGGAGCAGTCTAAGTCAATCACAACGCCAATAGTTCACGAAAAGCATGTTAATGTCAACAGAAGATTAATATCAGCCTAAGATTGTAGCTACGTAGACAAACCGAAAACTCTCAGATCGTACCTCTCAGCTCTCTTCATCCTTCCGCACTACTCAAGCGATGTCGACACAAGACAAATGAGATATCAGCAGATCACTAAATGCGCCAAGCTCGAAGACATCGATCGTGCTACCCCTAGAAAGCGACTGCGCGCGTTGGAACTGCAGGTGAAGCGGGTGTCCTTGGTGATGGAGCCACGGAGGCAGGCAAAGAGCTCTGCGACGAAGCTGAAGAGCCAGACACTCAAGGGGGCGAATTCTCTTGGGAACCATCAGGCGTTCCATCGCGACAATATGCCAATTTTCTCTCCTCTGAGGACGCTTACAACAACTCATGCGCCTTTCGGTGGGACAACGCCACGGACGACTTGATCTGGGGTCTCCACGAGGTAATGTTTAGAATGGCGTATGCATCTGCCTCTGGTAAGTACTGAAAGGCCCCATAAGGTCGTCTCACCCTTCCTTCACAATATGGAAATCTGACAGGGGTATACAGATAACGAGACAGGCCCTGCGTTGACGTGGACGTACACAGGCAGTGGTTTAGTGTACAAAGCAGAGTACTTGGCGTTTTGGATCGCCATTGGCTCTATGCTAGTTGGCTTACTTGCTTCGATGAGTCTACTCTGGGGCTACTGGCATCTGAAAAGGGAAATTAGCCTGAGTCCGGTCGAGACGGCCCGAGCACTTGCAGAGACTGTTCTCTTGCCGCCCTCGGGTAGCCATGATATGACTGTTGAACAACTGTTGAAGGAGTTTGGTGATCGAAAGGCTAAACAAACAGTGACCGCGGGAGTGGTGTGACGTTTGTCGGGTGTTGAAACTTGAGCTAGATTTGTATCCAGACAAGGAAATCTGTAGAAGGCTGTGAACAGTCACATCACTGTCGCGCGAATATCTCCGTTGGCACGACGATATCATACATCCCACATCAGTCGCTATCCCCTCTCCTAGGTCGCGTTACTACTGAAGTTCCCAATAAACACAATCAGAACAGCACAGTACGCTGCGGTCGCGGCAAAGAGCTCGGCTCGCTTTGCCTTTGTGAGAAGACCCATCGACGCAGCGAACAACAGTGAGAAGACGATCAAGAGGCCAATGTTGAGGAACGTGCTGGAGCGAGTATTTTTCCACGTTATGCGATACATGATGAAGACAGGTGTAGCCAGCAGAAAGATGATGATGAGTACAACAACCAGGATAGCGACTTTCTCAATTCGGTCCATATGCGTATAGCGCCAGTAAGGATTGGGGAATCCCCTCGGCGAGTTATCAATGAAGAACTAATCGCGAGAGGTCAGCAAGCTTTCCTCGTCCCCAGTGTATGATTAAAACACTCACGGCGACCATTCTCTCAGGCAGTCGGATAATGATTTCATCAATCCAGCTATCAAGCTTTCCAGTCTCATCTTTCGGCTTCAAAGTGATCAGATCGTCCTTCATTTGGACGAAGAATGTCTCTCGCACGTTCGACAGAGGTTTCGTAATCCAATACCAGAAACGCATGTTTGACCAGTCACGATTGCTGGGCCGCTGAAGTTCATTGAGCTGAGATGCTTTTAGCAAGATCCTGTCGTATCTGATGAGACGGTCTTCAATGTTAGCTAAAAGTATGGCTCTATCACTTATGATCGAAGTATCGCTCGGCTGTTCATCTTTATCTTGATCTGGTACGTGAGCTGCATTGTTGCTTGCCTCACCGTTGGAACGAACGGTCGGTGGGCGTTTCCGTTTAGCTTGGTACTCTTGCCAAGCAGCATCTCGATCAGCTATTCGGGAGCTGACACGGAGCTTCTCCGTCGGATCATCAGAGAAGGCATGACGATCATCCAGATTCTTGAGGTCTTCTTCCAGTTCGCGTAACTGATCCTGGAGCTCGAGGATGACGCGGGAGTGGAGGTAGCCAAAACGACGGTAGATCGAGGTACTCGGCTCACCCGAATGGAAAGCTGCTTGCATAGGGTAGCCATGTGCGTGGTAACCATATCCTGGAGGCGCGTAATGACTTTAGCAGATCTATCGCTCGCTGTCGTTCAGAACGTACCAGGAGCTTCCCAAATCTGCTTCAGCATTTCCTGGATCTCCTTCGCTGGGTCTTCATTAGATGCTAAAAAAAGTCGTCAGATGTTTCTAATTCGCGGTCAAAGGCAAACACGCAACTACCTTGTGTCCCAGTCCCCAGTTCGAGAGTATTCATATCAATGGCACTAGAGGGAAATCCAGACTCGGCCATCTCGGAAAAATCAAATGACTAACAGAGGAAAGCCAAGAGTTCAAAATGTGAGAGCAGAAGCAGAGGATGTTATGCTTGACCTGAGTTTCGCTGAGGTGATCGCTCCGATAAATAGAGTGGCGTAATGGTGTGACAACCTGCAGATGCGCAATGCAGACATGGCCCCGGGGCGAAAATTCCTTTCGCTAAGCCATGCGTGCTCACCATCAGTCGAACCATTCGTGCTCTCGAGACGATACCGGAGCCGTGACACATGTGATGCGGTGAATCCTTGACCTGGATTCGTCCCTGTAGACATTTCCTGATCCTCGATCATTGTTACAACCATCGGATGGACCATGTCTGGAGCCGAGCTTACTCCAGGCTATTGTTAGTGCGCATGATGCTGAATCAACCAGCTGAAACCGGCGCGACATATGATTACGGTCAGCCCCATATGAGGTCCGGATAAAGTCCTTTTGCATGTGCGTTCAGCCACCGTGGGGGCTATCCGCGCACGCATACGCACATAAGAAATTTCGTAGAAGAGCAGCGATTCGGGTGACCGCAGTCAATTTGGAGGCGGTACACTGTCAGGAATACAAAGCAGTGCTATTGTTTCATGAAGAAGCGTCGAGGCAGGGTACACTAACACAGATCATGATGTAGACATTAGCCATGGCCACTATGGTGCTGTGCATCCAATGCTGAAGACATCTAGCTCGCATATCTCCCAGTAGAGAATCATTAGAGAACGCGATAGAAGACGAAGAACGAACACGCTCATGACCGCTGTAAATGCAATACAAAACAACTCGCTCGAACGCTTCGCTACAAAAGACAGACAGGAAACAACAAATTAAGCCTCCGAGATGCAATCGAGGAACGACAGTATGCATGGTCGTGAGATGGGGACGCGTGAAAAAGAGAGCTGAAAAACGCGAGCGGGTGTCCTCAAACGAATCTAGTCGTGATAACTCCCCGCTGAGAAAAAAAAAACGTGATGATGGAAGGTACGAACAAGCGTACAGATATACGATGAGCCAAGTTGGCGCTGATATTAACAGCACCTGCCACTCTTGCTCTTCTGCGCCCGATTGATGTCTTCTTCCCAATCTTGCTGATGTCCAGCGACGTTGGGTGTAGTAGGGAAGCCCAGCCAGCTTCGCCTCTTGTCACCAGTGCCTAAGCGGAAGCTTCCATTACCCGTTCCAGGGTAATCGAAGTATCCAGCGACATTCCCGTTGTTGTCCATGGCAGGGGTGACACCAGCCATGGCGTATTGCCGTTGCTCTTCCTCGAGCTTCTTCTGCTGCTGTTCCACCAGCTTGCGAGTGATGACGCGAAAGACTTCGTCTACACCCTCGCCATCTTTGGCGCTGATCTCGTGGCAACAGTCCCAACCGAGGTCTTGTCCCCAGAAGCCGCTCGACCGGTTGCTCTGTGGCGACGCCATACCGCTGTGGAAGGCTGCCGGTACAGAGCCCCAGCCGCTTGCTGCAGCACTGTGTGGTTGTCCGTTCTGTGTGGGGTGGAGGTTCTCGGCGACGTATTCGATGCAGCGCTCGAAGGGCACTTTTCGCTTGGTGGGGTCTTCGGCTACGACGTCTGACTTTGTTCCTACAACGTGGAGGATCACGTCCTCTCCGAGATTTGTCTTGAGTTCCTTGAACCAGCGGCCCATCTCCTCGAACGAATATGGATCGGTGATGTCGTAACATAGTACTGCAGCATTTGCGCCTAGAAGAAAACGTTAGTTCTGCGCTGAAGGTTTGCTGATAGTAGACGATCCGAACTCGGCTGCCGAATGTGGGGTATCCAGATAGCGGAAAGAGACCCGATGTGTATCGCGACAGAAAATACTAGTTGGTCTGACGAAAAGGACGATAGTAACGTACCCCTATAATACAGCTTGGATATGGACCGGAAGCGCTCCTGGCCCGCGGTATCCCATATTTGTAACCGAACCACTGTGGAGGTGTCGATATCCACAACCCTCTTTGTCAAGAAGGAAGCACCCACGGTGGACTGTGTCGTGGGAGGCGTAAAAGCGTTTTTGACATATCGGTGGACGAGAGAAGTTTTTCCAACTCCTTGGCTACCGAGGACCACGATCTTTGCTTCCAGGCTGTTGGACATGTCGCCGTATTACGCCAAATCTATTTGTATACGTCGGTGTTGGCGGTGCAGGGATGGGGCGGCAGGCGGTGTTGTGGGGTCGGCTCAGATATGCGCGGTCGCGGTGCCTCGGAGCAAGAAAGAAAGGAAATGCGTGGGAGGCGGCGGGAGAACAAGTTGCATGGCGAGCAGTGAGAAAGAGTCGCCGGCAGATGTGAGAAGAGGCAGAGGATTGACGTAGAGGGTATCTGAGAATATTAGGCAGGAGGTGAGTGCCCGAATGACAGCCCAGCTGCGTTTGGCGCTTGCACCGATTCTCTTGGCTAAGGGAGCCATGTGACAGGCGCCTCAAGCCAATGTGAATCAGATCTGAGAAGGGTGCGTCCCAGATGGGAATATGAATGCCCATCGTGATCGCAGCCCTGGGGACTGATAATCATCCAGGGGATGACGCGCCATGTTGATGCTGTGTGTCGGGCAGTCAACAATGCACGTCATGCCCAGCCAGCTGTCTCTTCCCCGCGTTTCGGAGCAGCACGGAGTCTTCCACGCGACCGACGAGAACGTTAATACCTACCCCAACTAAGCTCCCTCGACGAACGACAGTCCCTGGCCGACACATATATCCTCAAGAAAACCGCCTGCGAAGGACCGAGACGGGATGCCTAATGCGACAAGCCCGGAATCGATCTCGCCTCGATCTCATGAGCTAGGGTGCTAACTCAGGTGCGTCTCCGCGACCAGCATCCGAAGCCCGCGGGGATGAATGTACCGAGCTATTACCCCAAACATGCTGCCGTCACCAACCTGGCCCTTCCGCTCGTCCAAGCCCTCTAGTGTCTGGAAATAACCTAGACCGGCTCCATATATTTTCTGGCCTATCTTCGCGTCTTGATTACCTGCCCTTCAACATTTCGCGCTCGACACACCGCCGCCACGATGAACCACGACAGCAACAACACCCAGAAAGTGAAGCTCACCGGCGAGCAGGTCGCCCAGCACAACAACGCCGAATCATGCTGGGTCATCATCCACGGCCGCGCCTACGATGTCACCGAGTTTCTGCCTGAGCATCCCGGAGGCCAGAAGATTGTCCTAAAGTATGCTGGCAAGGATGGCACTGAGGCATTTGAGCCAATCCACCCGCCCGACACGCTCGACAAGTATCTCGACAAGTCCAAGCACTTGGGCGAGGTGGACATGAACACCGTCAAGGAAGAAGCGAAGGAGATCGATCCTGATGAGGAAGCGAGGCAGGAGCGCATTGCGCGCATGCCAATCCTGGAGCAATGCTACAACCTGATGGACTTTGAGGCTGTTGCGCGCAAAGTCATGAAGAAGACAGCATGGGCATACTACTCCAGTGGTGCCGACGATGAAATCGTAGGACTATCTCACCGACTGCCATTATTTGAGCTGACTTTTGGCAGACACTACGCGAAAACCACAGCGCATTCCACAAGATCTGGTTCCGACCACGCGTACTCATCGACGTCGAGAAGGTCGACATGTCCACCACAATGCTCGGCACCAAAGTCGACATCCCCTTCTATGTCACCGCGACAGCGCTGGGCAAGCTCGGTAACCCGGAGGGAGAGGTCGTCCTTACGCGCGGCGCACACAAGCACAACGTTGTCCAGATGATACCAACACTAGCGTCATGCTCGTTCGACGAGATCATGGACGAAGCAAAAGACGGTCAGGTCCAATGGCTGCAGCTATACGTAAACAAGGACAGGGAGGTCACAAAGCGTATTGTGCAGCACGCCGAGAAGCGCGGCTGCAAGGGTCTCTTCATTACCGTCGACGCACCGCAGCTCGGTCGTCGCGAGAAAGACATGCGGAGCAAGTTCGACGATGTCGGCAGCAACGTCCAGAGCACCGGCGGCGACAATGTGGATCGTAGTCAAGGCGCCGCACGAGCCATCTCGTCCTTCATTGACCCGAGCCTTAGCTGGAAAGATATCCCGTGGTTCAGGAGCATTACCAAGATGCCAATCATTCTCAAGGGTGTACAGTGTGTTGAGGATGTTATTCGCGCTGTCGAGGTTGGCTGTGATGGTGTTGTCCTTTCCAACCACGGTGGTCGTCAACTCGATTTCGCTCGCTCGGGTGTCGAAGTACTCGCTGAGGTTATGCCGGTTCTTCGCGCACGCGGCTGGCAAGATCGCATCGAAGTGTACATCGATGGCGGTATTCGACGTGCGACAGACATTATCAAGGCTGTCGCACTCGGCGCCAAGGGTGTAGGCATCGGTAGGCCTTTCCTTTACGCCATGTCTGCATACGGTTTGCCAGGTGTCGACCGTGCTATGCAGCTACTGAAGGATGAGATGGAGATGAACATGCGCTTGATTGGCGCTTCAAGCATTGCGGACCTGAACCCTTCGATGCTCGACACAAGAGGGCTCAGCATGCACACTGCTACCGTGCCTCATGACACTTTGGGCATGAATGTCTACGACCCGCTCATCGGCCCTCAAGAGAGTGTTGTGAAGGAGAAGTCTAAGTTATAGAGGAGCTTGTGATTGTATTGTATATATATCTAGGCGCAACACATTTCTTCAAATATGGTCAATCGATCCTTACAGCGAGATGCCGTCTTTGAACCAAGTCAAAACATATTTGGACTATCCATCCCTCCAATATGTGCCATTATTCACAGCTCTGCGCTATCAAGTATGCCCATGTGGCATCCTTTGTCCGCATCGTGACTACGCGTAGACGCGTTCGGCGAGTGGGGAAGGAGCGCCCGGTGGACCTTCCGATCGTCAAGCGTCCTTGAACCACGGGTTGCTCCTTCCACTTCAATCGCAGCACGCCTCATCCATTCACATTATCGCACCTTATTATTTCACATATCCCCGCCTTTGAATCGCCTTCGCATCATCGCTTTTACTTTTTGATTATATCTTGATATTATTCCATGGGCGCTCCTGACGTTGCAGCGCAGCCCGGCGCTGGCTGGGACGAGGCGCAATGTACAGCAGCACTCGCGCAACTGGAGCAGCTCCAGGCGCAGGTGAGGATCGCATGCCACCTTCTCTGGATAAGTTATGTTAATATGCGATAGATCAGCGACATGCGCCTAGCCATCCCCCGCATCATCGAGCCCTTCCACCGCCCTCGCAGTTCCGCGACGTATAAACTCTACGCTGACGGCGTACTCGGTTCACAGAAGAACCTCGATTCCCTCAAGAGCCAGTGGAAGTCACCAGAATTACAGAGCACGTTCGAACACGTCAAGCAGAGCCTCGGCGCAAATGCGGATTTGTCGGAAAGCGTCTCGATACCTTCTCATGGCTGGACGGAAAGAGCACGGAAGGCGAAGGAGTCGACGAAAAATCAGGGAGGGGACAATAAAGAGGATACCGGTGCTATCGTCACTGACGAGGATATCGAGAGGATTGTGGTCGAGTTCAGGAAGGCGCATCCGAATCTCAAGGTGGAGACAAATGATGAGGATCGCAGCATCCAGACACGCTTCGTATCCGGCTCCGTCATGTTGAAATTCCGCGTTGGCATCGAGCGCGACACGAACGGACGGCACAAACTCAACGCAGAGTGTTTGGGGACTACGGAGCCCTTTTTAGCTATCACAAGATGTATTGCATCACGGTCGAACTCAGATGATTTGAAGTATCTTTTGGTATGTACATGGGATTGTGTGGCATGAGCATGTTTTGGGTGGATGCTAATTATTACAGGATATGATTGCTGCGTACAAGACTGTGAAAGGAACGTCGTGTGCCAAATGCGGAAAACTTCTGGATGACTCGGCGTTGACGCCTACCGCGAGACGAAGTAAACAAGTTGCCGTCGGAAACGAAAGTCCAGATACGGTCTGGGTGGCACTCCACGAGGCTTGCATTGAGTAAATCCAGATGGCACTCACGTCGATCTAGTGCGAGCTCATCTCACATAGGGGGGCGGGATGTGAAAGAATGGCTCCCCCTGGCCAAACTCGTTGTCGACATCACCACCCCATCTTCGCGGCAGATACTGCATGTCATGATGCCACTGGCCGAACACGTTTCTCATCGCCTGGGGGTAACAGTTCCATTCGCTGTTTCTGTATGGCTCTGGTTGCCAAATCGCATCTGTCCACATATCCAGGCTTGGCTCTGTGTACTGTCGAGTCCGGAAGTCGTAGCACTTGTCTTTACCTCGTCCACCGAGAATGCTGTCTTGGGTCCACGGAGCGAATTTCGAGCTATTAAAGCCGAAAGGATGACGTCCGAATCCGGGCTGATGGCCATATCCCGCCCATTGATTTTTGTGTGGACGATTGGACACGCAATCCGTCTTGCGAGCCCCAAACGCAACGTACATGTCTGGGCCCTCGTTTTTGAATATATCCTTGAGGCGTCCGCGAAATGAGCCATTCCTTCCGTCCTTTGGCCATATAAATGCCTTTGATGGTTTGACATTATGGAGCTTCCGGCCATCTTGGTACCATCCTCGCCAGTACGGTTCACGAACGTATCGAGCTGCTTGTGGTTTCGATCCGCACTTCCGCCCGGTTTCCGTGAAGTAGGGAGGTCTCGGCAGAATATCAGGCATGTTGAAGATGTCTTAGTAAAGGGACTGTTTCCTTCGAGGAAAGTATAGTACCTTTAGCGATGGACAACCGCCTTTGTAGAGATGATACTGTCAGTCGTTTGCTAGCGAAGATTGCAGATACAAGATAATTATACACAGTATGGCAGAGACAGAGCGTGTGTATAGTCGTTTGCGTGCCGCTACTACCTAGCATACAAAGTTTTATATCATTCGGTCATGCACCCGCTCGCATTTGGCTCATCTTTGAACTGCTGGGTGTGGCCATGCGCCTGCTGTGCCAACTTTTCATCAAGCTTCTAAACCCTACTCTCACCAAATGGATGTGAAGCATCTACGTGACGGAGATCGTAATTCAATCTGTTGATGCTTTGAGAAGACGAGATGATACTAGTCCTTTCACACGACGCGGTACCTGAAAGACAGGGATCGCGAGGGTCCGAGCTCTTAAGCTTGAACAACGCGATCTCGTTTCTCCAGGTTTGTTTTCGGGACCATCAACAACACCGCCCAACACACCACCATGTCGCTCTTCGGCAATCTTGGAGGCTCGCAGCCCGCCTCTACTGGCGCATCCGGTGGAGGACTGTTTGGAACCGCACCCGGCGGATCAGGCGGTACTGGATCAAGCTTGTTTGGCAACCTGGGCGGAGGCACTTCGAATGCGCAATCTGGTACGACACAGGCACCAAGCTCTGGAGGCTTAGGAGGCGGACTTTTCAGTGGATTGGGCGGAGCAAAACCCGCTACGACCACGACATCCTCACTGTTCGCTGGCGCCGGATCGACTTCGCAGCCGCAAACACAAACGCAACCCAGCAGCCTTGGGCTGTTCAACAACACGGCGTCGCAATCAACAACCAACAACGCGCAACAAACGAGCGGATTCGGTCAATCGTCTCTCTTCGGCGCTACCTCGAACCAGCAGCAACCCCAACAGCAGCAGCAGCAGCAACAGCAACAGGGCACGTCACTGGCCCAGGCAAACGCTGGCACCGGTCGCTCAGCCCATTTCGATAATCTGCTCGAGCGAGGGCGAAAGCGCAATGCTGGCGAGAATGGCACGACCAACTTCGACGAGCTGCCGTCCCTGCAGTTGGGCCTTGGGGACATCGCACGCAAGGTGCGCAACCTGGGCGCTGGCGGTCCCTCAGCCGACCAGGTTCAGGACCGCTCCCAAGATCGCGCTGCGTAAGTTGAACACAACTCGTGACATGTAATCTTATGCTGACTGCTTCCAGACACTACCTACTCTCCGCCTCAGGCGTGAAGATGGGTAGCACCCTCCGCGACCTCAACCAATTCTCTTCGCAGGCCGGACTCGCTGCACCTGGTCAGGCACAGAACCTCTTCGATAACGACGTTGACGGCTACATTTCCAACTTGCACTCGCAATCAACCCTGGCACTTATTCAGGAAGGACTCGAGCAATCTAAGCGCGACTTCGACACGTTCCTCGAGGACAATGTTCAGATTGAATGGGACAAGCAGAGGCAAAGGATCTACGAACACTTTGGGCTTGGTCGACAGAGCGAAGACATGGCAGCATCCCAGAGCGGCGCATTCGGCAGCACAGCTCGCGGAGCTTTTGGACGCGCAACAGGACGCAAGGGTCGTTCTATGGGTCCCAATGGTGCATCTGTCAACGGAAGATCGACCTTTGGAGCATCTGCTGCTGGACCGCCTGTTCTGGGTGCTTCCCAGAGCGTTCTTGGTGGGCGCGATTCTTCCGACAAGTCAGTCATGGGCGGACAAGCTGCTCCGCAGGATCGATACGCTCGTGACAAGCAAGAGAAGTTTATGGAAGAGGTCAAGAAGCTCAACGAGTCCAGGCTGCGGGAGAGTACATTCTCGGTACTTCATGCGTTCTCTGATGTAGAGATGGCTGCCGGTACAGAATACTCGGAGCAGTTCACACGCGCCTACGAAACGCTCATCTCCATCACCGGCGAGAAGACCGAACTCGAGGCATCCAACCCTGGCTCGAACCAACCGAAAGAGCGAAGTTTCGCCAGAGACTACCTGGACGAACAATCAAACTCTGCTGCTAGCGTTCGCATGCGCAAGCGCATACTCGACGGGTCTCGAAAGTACCTTGAAAGCAGGTTCCTGGAGCAGGTGGAAGACGTCCTACGGAGAAACCCCGCGGAGGCGCTTGTTGGTGGTGTTCCCTCAATGCTCAACAAGATCCGAGGCTTCGTGAGAGCAAAGGCTGCATTCAAGGAGCTTGGCGCAGACACTGAGCTATTCCAACGGATAGGCGAAGCCGGTGAAGAGTTTCCCTGGATCATCATATTCTTCCTCCTGAAGGGTGGTCTGCTTGCCGAGGCTGCTGAATATGTACGAGAGAAGAGGAACTTCTTCCAGAACACCGACCGAAACTTCCAGGCGGCGATATCCCAATACGCCAGCGATCCGGACCGAAGACTGAACCCCGATACGCAACAGAAGGTCGCTCACACACATGCCCAGAGGACCCGCTTGAAGACGCCAGAGGACCCTTACCGACTGGCTTGCTACAAGATCGTTGGTCGATGTGATATGAGCAAGCGCAACCTGGAGCCGATCAGAGAGAACATGGACGACTGGGTATGGCTGCAGTTCAACCTGGCTCGCGAAGGCAACCGCGCTGAGGAGAACGCCGGCGAGATCTTTGGCTTGGAAGAATTGAGAACAGTTATCAAAGACATCGGCCAGCGCCACTTCATGAACGACGACGCTGAATCCTCGGGCGGCTATGGAGTTTACTTCTATCTCGCCACCCTGGCTGGTCTGTTCGAGCCAGCTATCAACTACTTGTACACCCACAACTACGTCTCGGCGGTTCATTTCGCAGTCGCTCTAGACTACTACGGCCTCATCCGCGTGTCGGACTGGACGACTGCAGGTGGAGAGATTATGACCTTCACTACTCGACAACAACCACAGCTCAACTTTGGACGCATCGTCGGCCACTACACAAGCGACTTCCGTGCTGCACGAGCTGATGCTGCGGCCGACTACTTGGTGCTGATCTGCATGAATGCGGATCTACCAGGCGAAGCAGGCCGACAACAGGCAGAACTCTGCCATGAAGCTCTTCGCGAACTTGTTCTTGAGACGCGCGAGTTCTCTACCTTGTTGGGTGACGTCAAATCCAACGGCGAGACGACACCAGGTCTCATCCAGGAACGCGTGCCTTTGCTCAAGCTGGACGGCGAGATGGGCTTGTTGAACACCATCACCAGCGAAGCCGCGAGGATGGCAGACGACAACGGACGCATCAACGACGCCATTCTACTCTGCCATCTTGCTGGCGAGTACGACAGTGTCGTAACGATCCTGAACCGCGCGCTGGCTGAGGCACTCTCTGTAGAACTCGGTCAAGAGCCTCTCCGTCTGGAGCCGTTGAAGCCGCGTCTGACAGCTGCGGAGTCACAACAGCAGCAACAGCAACGAACTGATCTGACTTCGTCGAGCTTGAGCATGCTGGGAACAGACGATCCTGTCGAGCTCGCGCAGAAGGTTCTTGCGTTGTATGACGCGAACAGCCTATGGTGGAGGAAGGTGTCGCAGATGAACCGCGACACAGTTGGAATACTATTTCAGCTCAACAACGCGAAGAAGATCATTGAAGCCGGCGACTTCATGGCCGCACTCGGCGTAAGTTATCACATCACTGTCTCTCACAGTCAGTCACTAACATTCCGCAGCAAATCGAAAACCTCCGCATCCTTCCCCTGTCCGCCAACGGCAATGTCAGCGACATCCGTGCCACCGCCAACAGCTTCAACTCATACCCACAAGAGATCTCACGCAACATTGGCAACGTACTTCTCTGGTGCATTGGCTGCTGCTCGAGACATCGTGAGCGTCTTCTGTCCGGACAGTTCGAGGACAAGATGCGCAAGGTTCTCGCCGATCAATTGCTTCAAAAGGCGAAGGACCTTATGGTCTTTGCTGGTTTGATCAAGTACAAGCTGCCACCGAGGGTGTTCGAGACGCTGGCAAGGGAGGGTCAGGAGGTTGGTGCTTTCTAGAGTTGAGATGGTAATGATAGATGTCAATTAGTTGGAGTCTTTGGATTTGGCAAGGCTGTAATAGCATGTGCTTGGAAGCGCTTGGGTTCATGAGTAAAAGGTGATTGAGCATCTGCACAGCGATTGGGCATGTTTGGCTTGACATAGAGTGATACCAATAAATAATTGTAATTCGCGGCCAATCGGACCTCTTCGTGATCGTGATGCTGGGACGCCTTCGCCGGAAGAGGCCGCGTGGGGTGATGGCTAAGAAGAACATGTCACAGTAGTCGTACGGTGACCGTGGCGCAGGCAATGTC